GCGCTCTAGTATCGCAAGGGTCAGTGGTTCGAATCCCGTACAGGCCTGATTTTTTTCAGGTCTGATTTTCGCTATTGCTTAAATAGCGCTATCTACTGCGAGGATCGTGTATCATATTTATCTAATACCGCAGTTCAAAATATATGAACTCCATATATTTCATTGTATATGACTACTCCCTTCATTCACCACAATCTAATAATAATAATAATAATAATAATGATGATGATAATAATAATAATAATGATAATAATACTAATAATTTAATATTTATATTGCGCAAATTAACATGTGGATATGATCAAATGCGCATCATAACACTCTTCGGGGGACTTTGGCCGGACTGCATCAGCAGTTTACAAACAATCGAAGGAAACTTATTTGAAGATGCCCCCTCCCCCCCAATTCCCAGTAAACAGGCTAGACCACATCACAGTAATCTCGTGATGTGGGTTCTTTAACGTTCCCTGCCCAACCAAATTAACTAATTAATTAATAGATGCAGGAGATGGGACCTACGGTTTATTCGTCCTTATCCGAGAAGACTAGAATGTCTATCCATAGAGAGGTAGCGCATTCTCCTCTGTTATTTTAAGACCTTGAGTGTCGGTCCGGCCGGAGCTCGAACCATCGACCTCGACCTCCCGCACAACAGTCCAGCGTTCTAACCAATTGAGCTAACCGGGAGGTGGTTGTCATAGTTACCTAGGTCCAAAACCTTCGGTTCAAGTCAGTGATTGCCGACTTTTAATGCAACTTCGTCAGTGTAATCTATAACCTCTCCCTTTATTCGTTTAAAATAGATAATTGATTCAGTGCTCTATTTATCAGCCGACGGCCAGGGGAACAAAAGATTCTTTAATCTGTCACTCATTCCTTTGCTCAGTCATTCGCCACTCACTGAAACCCGTAATTCTTTTTTCTTTAGCTCGTATACAAGATGCTGTCCCCAAAGACTCTCCCCAGAGAGCTATCGAAGGATCTGGTTAGTAACCCTTGACCTTTTTCTTTTATTAGCACTGTAGTAAAGGTTTTCGTTAGACAACATTCCTAAGAATATAAGGGTTCCTTTTTATTGCTCGAACACGCGTCATAATAATACTCTCTTCTTCAAAGTGCCTATGACACGAAACTCTTTTTGCGTATTCTGTTTGATAGCTGTATTTAAAATTTGAAATAATCGACTTTGGCGCCTGGTGAGTTCTCTTTGACTACTTTTTGCCCATAGAGAGTACGATTCGGCGGCCAAAAAGTGTCTTATTTAGCGCGCAGCCAAAACGATCGTGTTACATAGCTGTGAGGTAGAAAACTGTGAAGACACTTCGGCAACTATGGTGAAGAAAGGAGAAATCAAGAAGGGGGGACGAACGTATTGCGTGGCCCGAGCGGCAAATGATATTACCTACCTGAATAATACACATAAACTGGGTTATTCTATTCAGTACTTTCCAAAGGATGTAGATTATGGTCAAAATGGACCCGTTTTGATGTCGACATTGAGAAGATTTTACTCTCTTAAGTCGTCGGCAGTTACGAACACATACCACTTGTCAAATCAGGGTAAGATGGCCAGTGAATCAAGCCAAAAAGAATGCCGATTCAAGGGCCTCTTCCCACACCAGAAACGATTGTTGCACTTTTTTTTTGTCTGACATTTTCCAAGCGAAGAATGGTGAGCTTCTTATTGTTGTTTATTTCACGCGCTTGAGAGGCACTCATACTCCTAGTCTTTCCAAATAACTACATTTGCACTTTTCTTATCGTATGAAAATCCTACCGATTGTTATTCTGTCGAATTTTAATAACACAAATATATCATTTGTAATAAAGGTCAAGCGCTTTCCTAAGCTGACCGATATCCTGTCGCCTGAACAGTGCGAAACCTCTGGCGGATACTGGCATAAACACAAGCTTGAAGGGGCTGTGTATTCCCCCAACCTAGATTTTTGAAAATCCACCTCACGAGCCATAAATTCCCCTCTACCTTCAAGAAAAATCATCGTGCCTCGCGACACATAGGCACTTTAAGAAACTCTCTCAGTTTCTTATGTCAAAAACCTCCTGTCCAAGTCAATGACTGCTGACATTGCAACTTCGTCAATGTTACAAGAGTTCTTTTAAATGCTCGCCGAGCATTTAAACGTTTTCGGAAAACGTTACATAGTACTTCTCTCTTTCCTCAAACCGTACTTTCACTTCGAAGTCTTACGTCTTTGCCAATTTTGACTCTGTCGTTGGCGTGTACCAATCGCAGGCTAACACTTTTAGTTCATTAACTCGCCCCTTACTGCGATCTGTTATTTACCATTTCTTTAGTTTGTGTTCAAAATGGGAAGGCTGAAGGAACTCGGGAAAGAGCTAAGGCAGAAAATGGTAAGTTATCCTACATAGTTTCTCTTTGTCGTGTCTTTGCTCGTTCATTCGCCACTCTGACTGCAGCCCGTTATTTATCTTTTTTTAGCTCGTAAACAAGAAGCCAATCGTAAATACTCTCACAAGGGAGCTATGCAAGGATCTGGTAAGTGAATTATACCCAATTCCTCCGTCAGTTACTTATCTTTGTTTTCAGCAGTTCGTTTCCCAGAAGCCAAATATAATATCATACTAGTCTGACGATTTACCAACAATAGAAAACAGTTACAACGAATTAAGGGGAATTATTGTAACTGTCTTTAGTTATCCTTTTGAAGTTAGCTAACTTAGTGTTAGCTAACTTAGGACAGATATACAATGCGCACTAGTCTACTATGGGAGTTATTATTTGAGGGTTGTCTTTCAGTAAATCAATTCAGTGAAAAACAATGGTACCTCTGCCTTGTACCACAGCGGAACTTTGTTCTGCGCAATAACTTTTACAGGTGGTAGAAAAGCCAGAACACAAGAAGACGAAAAGGAACAAAGAGCTCGGGAAAGACGAGGAGAAGGTAACATAAGAGCCTGTAAGAAGTCACAGTCAGTACTCTCAGATGGGCAGGCAATCTTTCAGTCGATAAAACTCGATCACCTAAAGAAACTGTTGATCTTCTTCGGTAGACATTAAGATAATAAGTCAATCATCAAATCATTCCTTATAAAGGACGATGTGTTACATAACATCGACAGAGATGCAATCAGAATGGTTAATGACTTTTTGGAGAGGTTTAAAACCCATCGTGGGTAACGACGTTTTGAATATTGAGGGTAATAGACACAATTTGCGCGTGTGAAAATGTAAGAGACCCTAATTGTGTATCAGTTTTGTAGAGATATGCAGTCGCTTCGAAGGAGCGGTTGGTCAAATTCGCACTTACAAGTGTATCCATTTTGGGGGCATTGCTCTATTCATGTAACTTGTGCTTCAAATGAAGTCGCAAATAGTTCTATCAGTTCCGGCACTGTATTTTTCAATTCCATCAAATGAAGTAACATTTTCATATTACCCTTCACAAACCGCAGTTACATCCCTCCTGTGCGGTAGTGAGTCTACGCGATACCGCTGGCAGTTCAAAAAAGCAGAAAATTGGGAAAATTGCGACTCCTATGTCAATGCTGTTTTGGAAAAGCTTTACTGTGACGTGAATAATGTAGAAGTCTCCTTTGAAATGGGGTGAGTAAGAAAAGAAAAAAGATGCATTGTTGATTTGATTTACAGTAAAACTGAACATTGCAGGATAACGTAGTTACTGCTGATAAAAAGGTACAATTTTCTATACCTTTGGCCAGAAATCTCTGGAAAATTTTGATAGCCTTATAATTACACTGAGCACTCTACTTGAAAATGATAGATTCAGAGACCGCAGATCTCCAAAATCGTCGACTGTGTGACTTGTTTACCTGAGGGTTTAGAGCGGGTTGATTTAGAGAAGAATACTGCCAAAATGAATGTTACAGATGCTCCGCGGAAGCCTGCCGTAATTTCTCGGGCAAACTTTAAATCTGTAAAAAACCTCAGAAACTTCCCGCAGGTTCTATTGCCTCTGTTATCTAGTGCGATATTTTAGCTTGTGTCAAGGCTCCAGTTGGTTCTTATTCAGTCTGCGGCGTGCTTGTGCAAGCGACGCAGAATGAGACAAGGAGAAACGAGAAAGGGTTGGACACAATTGTACTTAAGAGCCACTGACCATCAATATTGAGAATCTACCGATAGTGGCAAAACTTCTTAATTTATTTTATCTCTCCTAAAGAACCCTTTTGATAAACCATATTAAAAAATTATATCAAAAAGTCTTATCGCGCTTTTCTTTCTCCGTAAAATTGAAAATTTCAAAATGCGATTAGATAGCCGTTGTCCCCCCAGTAAAGCAATGAAAAATTATGCAACTTCGGCAACTTTGTACGCCACAACCCGATGCAATTCTGCTTTTAAATTTTGTGTGCTTGCCGATGATCCTTTTACCTCTTTGAAAATACAAATTTCTTGTTATGTTGTTACGTTTAAGTCTGAATAATGACCTGATGAAATAGAGTACTTCGCGTCTTTTTCGCAGAGGTAAACTGAAATAAAGGCCAACTTCACTGGCCTAGGAGATGTCTGCCATACACATTCACAGATCATAATATACATCATCCAAAACCTTTATCCTTGTATGTTAATTCCTCCAATTCTCTATCTTGGCCCGGCATAAGAGGCGCGTCCAGCTTAAAGAGAGTTCGGGTTAAAATAACAAAAACGCGGTGCGAACCGCTGACAGCTGTCACGGTCTGTTTAAAGGCCTATAAAAAGGTCTGGCATATATGTATTTGCAAATCAAAATACACGTTATCTTAAAAGCTTTATCCTCGCAGTTTAATTCCCCAAAGTTACTCTTTTGGCCTATCATAGGCGGTGCGTCTATGTTGAAAAGAGTTCTGGCTATCATAACAACAAATGTAATGCGATCCGTTGAACGGCTGTCACGCAAGTTGTCATGTATTTGGCACGTTGCTGGCCAAGCTAAAGGACTGGCCTTGACCTCTTGCATGACGGCCGTTCAACGAGTCGCACTACATTTTTTGTCATTTTAGCCCGCACTCTCTTCTAAAAAGAAACTTGAGGAATTAAACTACAAGGATAAAGCTCAAAGATGACGTATATTATGATTTGTATATATATCATGCCAGACCCTCTTTAAAAGCCTCAAAATAGGTCGTGACAGCTGTTCAGCGGTTCGCATTGCATTTTTGTCATTTTATCCCGAACTCTCTTCAAGCTGGACGCGTCTCTTATGGCAGGCCAAGATAGAGAATTAGAGAAAATAAAATACAAGGATACATCGCGCATCGCGTTGTGGCTTACGAAGTTACCAAAGTTGCATAACTTTTTATAGTTTTATGAGGGGGATAACGGCCATCCAGGTGTATTTTAAACTTTTCAAAAAATGTAAAATGATTGTAAAATTATTTTACAGAGAAAGAAAAGCGCGATAGAACTTTATGATATAATTTTTGAAGAAGATTCATCAAAATGATCCTTTAGGAAAAAGAAAATGATTACGAGATTTTGCAACTGGCGGCGGATTCTCTATATTTATGGTCAATAACTCTTTCAGCGGCCAGCCTATGTGCAGACTCACACTAGTGCTCCAAAAGAGGAAAACGAGAGGTTTGAGAGGGTTCTTGTACTAATGTTTGTGGCAGAAACAAGACGGATCTCACGCAAGCTCGCATGGCTTATTCGTTTAAACCAGCGGGCTTCACCGCTCGTGACGCAGCGCCAATTTGAGCCTCCAAGCAGACCAATAGTGCTACTGACAGCTTACTAACAGAACGCTTGGAACAAGCTAACGCATCGTCATTCTTTTTCGTTCCTTTTCAGACGTTCAGGAAAACCAATGATAGAGATGTCAGCCAACTTTCAGACAATGTCCATGGGCCGGATCTCCTCCAAACAGTTTCTGATCCGTCGACGC